AGGAGGTATGGGGGCAGGTGTAGCACTTCCTGCGGTTGCAGGGAAAATTGCCGGGTGTGGTGGGGCTGGAGGGGAGTGTGGAGCGGACAAGGGAGTCACGGAGAGAGTGGTCCCTCCGGAAAGCAGATAAGGGTGGGGAGGGAAAAATGTCTTTGGTGGTGGTGTTGGATTGCAGATGGCGGAAGTGTCGGAGGATGATGCGTTGGATCCGGAGGTTGGTGGGGTGGTACGTGAGGACGAGGGGAATTCTTTTTTGGTTCTTATTGCGTGGACGGTGTGTGAGGGATGAGTTGCGGGAGATGTGGGAGACACGGTTGAGGGCATTCTCGACCACTGAGGGGGGGAAGTTACGGTCCTTGAAAAACGAGGACAACTGAGATGTATGGGAGTGGAATGCCTCATCCTGGGAGCAGATGTGGCGGAGGTGAAGGAATTGGGAATAGGGGATAGCATTTTTGCAGGAAGGTGGGTGGGAGGAAGAGTATTCTCGGTAGCTGTGGGAGTCGGTGGACTTGAAATGAATATCGGTTTCTAGGTGGTTGTCCAATATGGAGACAGAGAGGTCCAGGAAGGGGAGAGAGGTATTAGAGATGGTCCAGGTAAACTTAAGGTTGGGGTGGAAGGTGTTGGTGAAGTGGATGAACTGTTCGAGCTCCTCGTGGGAGCACGAGGCAGCGCCGATACAGTCATCAATGTAACGGAGGAAGAGGTGGGGTTTAGGGCCGGTGTAAGTACGGAAGAGGGATTGTTCCACGTAACCTACAAAGAGGCAGGCGTAGCTTGGGCCCATGCGGGTACCCATGGCCACCCCCTTTGTCTGTAGGAAGTGGGAGGAATTGAAAGAGAAGTTGTTGAGGGTGAGGATGAGTTCGGCTAAGCGGATGAGGGTGTCAGTGGAGGGGGACTGGTCGGGCCTGCGGGACAGGAAGAAGCGGAGGGCCTTTAGGCCATCTGCATGGGGAATGCAGGTGTAGAGGGACTGGACGACATGTCCATCCTGGGCCTCCTACAGTGCCACAACGATGCCACCCGAAGGTTGCAGGAACAGCAACTCATATTCCGCTTGGGAACCCTGCAGCCCAATGGTATCAATGTGGATTTCACAAGCTTCAAAATCTCCCCTCCCCCTACCGCATCCCAAAACCAGTCCAGCTCATCCCCGCCTCCCTAACCTGTTCTTCCTCCCACCTATCCCCTCCTCCCACCTCAAGCCGCACCCCCATCTCCTACCAACTAACCTCATCCCGCCCCCTTGACCTGTCCATCCTCCCTGGACTGACCTATCCCCTCCCTAACTCCCCACCAACACTCACCTTTACTGGCTCCATCCCCGCTTCTTCGACCTGTTTGTTTCCTCTCCACCTATCCTCTCCTCTATCCATCTTCTATCCGCCTCCCACTCGCTCCCTATTTATTTCAGAACCCCCTTCCCCTCCCCCATTTCTGATGAAGGGTCTCGGCCTAAAACGTCAGCCTTTCTGCTCCTATGATGCTGCTTGGCCTGCTGTGTTCATCCAGCCCTGCACCTTTATCTAACCAACTGTTTTCTGCCTCCCTAGGTTCCAACTCCACCTATAGTTTAGCGTTCCCCCCCACCCTATCTTCAGCATATATACCTACTTTTACCCACCTGCAATCAGTTCTGAAGAAGGGTCTCCGGACCCAAAATGTTAACTCTGTTTCTCTCTCCACAGAGCCAGCCAGACCTGCTGAGTTTTGTTCCCATTACTTTTTGTTTTTGTTTCAGATTTCCAGCATCCTTTGACAAGGTTAGTAAAGTTAGATCACATGGGATTCAGGGAGAGCTTGCTATTCGGATACAAAATTGGTTTGATGGTAGGAGACAGAGGGTGGTGGTGGAGGGTTGTTTTTCAGACTGGAAGCCTTTGTCCAGTAGTGTTCCGCAGGAATCCATGCTGGGTCTACTGCTGTTTGTCATTTATATAAACAATTTAGATGACAGTATAGGAGACATGGTTAGTAAATTTGCAGATGACAACAAAATTCATGGTATAGTAGACAGCGAAGAAGGTTATCTAAGATTACAAAGGGATCTTGATCAATTGAGCCAATGGGCCAAGGAGTGGCAGATGGAGTTTAATTTAGATAAATGAGAGATGTTATGTTTTTTAAAGATGAACAAGGGCAGGACTTAAACAGTTTAATGGTAGGGCTCTGGACTGTGTTGTCGAACAGAGACCTAGGGGTTCAAGTACATAGTTTCGTGAAAGTTGCATCACAGGTAGACACGGTGGTAAAGAAGGCATTTGGCATGCTTGCCTTTATTGCTCAGACAATTGAGTATGAGAGTTTGGATGTCATGTTGTAGCTGTGAAGGGTGATATTACAGAAGTGTACATACTCATAAGGGACATAGATATAGTAAATAGCAGAAGTCTTTTCTCTCGGGTGGTGGAGTTCAAAACTGGAGGGCATATTTTTAAAGTGACAGGAGAAAATTTTAAAAGGGACCTACCTGAAGGGCACGTTTTCCACACAGAGGGTGGTTTGTATGTAGAATGAACTGCCAGAGAAGGTGGTATATGCAGGTACAGTTACAACATTTAAAAGACAATTGGACAGGTACATAAATAGAAATGGTTTAGAGGGAATATGGGCCAAACGCAGGCAAGTTGGACTAGTTTAGTTTGGCAAATTTGGTCGTCATGAACAAGTTGGATTGAAGGGTCTGTTTCTGTACTGTATGAGTCTTGAATCTAATCGCAGTTCTTTTTCTTCATTACATGCAATTTCCTGTTTAGGGATTCGGTCAAAACAATTCAGCCAGGATTTTCTAATCAATACTCACTATCCTGTAATGATCTCAACCGCAGATTATTAATAGGCAGAAAACAAACCAGAGCTTGCAGACACAAAAGAGGAAATTTAAAGCTTTATGTTTTACTTTGCCTAGAAAAACATAAATCACAAAGGTTCTAGACCCCTATGTTATAACAGTAATGAGAAAGCCATTATGTTATAATATATGATATGATGCTTGGGCACAAACCACTTGTGGTTGGGGTAGAATGCCAGCACCAATCCTCCTGCCTATGCTAGTCTAAGGGGCTGCTCTGTAATCTGTGGTGGATGGACCATAAGTAAGTCTCAGCAAAAGGATCTTGTCTTGAATAACAGGATGCAGTTTATTACATCTCAGTAAATGATACACAGGTTACATTAGTAATAGCTAACATTCCTAAGTGCTAAAGAGGTAGGTAAGACGTGTCTCCATTAGGTGACCGTGTCTGCTCAATACTCCACTCAGTGTTATATAACAGTGGGCAGAGGTTTCAACTCAGCTCACAGATTAACTACTCATATTCATTACCTCAGAATACTTTGGAATTCACTTTTACTGACCCCACTGCTAAAAAACGAATTTGCCAACATTTATTTTTATTATCTGCATTGTCCATGAGTTGTAATGGATGACTAGTTTTAGATTATGAGTTTCAATGAATAGCAGCAGGACCAAATATCAAGGGGCATCAAGCAGCCTGACTCATTAGCATTTTAGGCACTGGATTAATCTGCTAATCAGTTCCTTCCAATTTGTTGCCCAGATCTGTGGCATCAATGCTATATCAATGCTTTCTCTTTTAACCTCCTTCCCTCAGTCCAAAACTGGATCTTTTGGTAGAACATGACTCAAAATATCCTCAATACATCAAGTGAATACACCAAGAAATTAATTATCTATGTGCCATTAAAAGTACACTTTGGCTATGCTTATCAGGATATTGTGAGCCACATTCCAGTTTATCCATCTTTCCAGGTTGTACATGTTCACATGACCTTATCAATCCTCACTCCAAATCAGAAACCATCAAATTTCACTCATTCTAACCAATTGTCACCATCTTTCCCCCAACTAGAAAAGTTCCACACAATGTTATATATTAGTCCTTTCCAAATGCATTTACTGTTTGAGCTGAGCTTCCATTGGATATCTATATTTCTTCGCAAGGGGCAGGGGATTGTGCCATTTAGTCTTAAGGAGTTAATGGGAGAAGGCAGGAGAATGGGAATGAGAAACATATTAGCCACATTTGAATGATACAGCAGACTTGATGGGCTGAAAGGACCATAAGGTATAGGAGCAGAATTAGGCCAATGTTCAAAGATTCAGAACTTTGTTGTCACAGGTTGCATATAGTGAAAGTAAGTTCATCCCTCTACTCTGAGAGCAAAGTTCTGAATCTTACTGCTCGCATCTGAATTCTCCTAATCAAAATTAATTGTAAAATAGTGGCAAAAACATTAAAAATGCATCATTCACTAATAATATTTTGTGACCCTTTTCAATCTAGCTAATAATTTCAGGCTGTATACTTCCAAATGGCCAATAACTTACTTCTTTCCTTTGGAAAAATGGAGACCCAATCATTGCATACATATTTGTTTCTTCACGTACATTTTGATATACTGAAATCCATCTTTTATTCTATAACACAGGATTTTCCTTTCTTTTTCTGGATCAATTTGAATACCATCAGCCTTCTTTAGTCAACCTCTGCTTTAAGATTGAAGAAAAACAAGGAAAAAAATAGAAGAAATGCTGGAAATCTGAAATAAACTGGAACACTCTCACTATGTAGTTTAGAGAAAGATAGTGTAATCGTTTGGTTGTGATTCTATATCAAACAAAGGAAATGGCAATGCCAGGTGTGTAATGGAAACAAAAACCCAAAACAACCAATTGAAACATCACAAAATTTTAATTCAACATCCGTCAAAAGTTTAATCTTGAAATCAACAGTTTAGTGTTATTGGTTTAAGTAAGAATCTGGTTGCCATTTTAGTTACAACTGGAACAGTTTAGCACCAATCATAAAATAGAAAGCTCAATAGGAACATAACATAAACTTTACTTACAACATTGCAAGGGATAAATCTCCTTAACTTTATGACATTAACTAAATGAACTTTTGAGGTATTAATTGCTTCAAAGACCACATTAAATCATAGCTAAGCAAACAGATGCTGTAATAAAGCACTGACATTCTCATAGTGGAGTAAAAAGATTCTCTCTGAACAGTGACCTGTCTTTCTCAGTATTCTACAGCCTCTTCCCTGGTGAGTACTGTTTGGCAATCAAGCAGCACTAACCTTTCCTAGATCTTTGCAAAGTATCAATGTCCTAGGTTCAATACCAGACTTAGTTTAACACTAAGTCTAACTGCATCCTTTTGTTGGCTGAGCGTTCCATACAAGTCCATTTTAACTGCAGCGCTGACCATTATAAAAAGTTATGTTTGGAATATTTCCTTTTTAAAAATTACCCTAAGCAATTAATATTAACTGGTTACCTTCTTAGAAGTCACCTTGATCAAAGTGGAAATCCTAGTAGTTTGAAAAGACAGACAACAGAAATTGCAAATTCCAGAAACCTAAAAGAGTGATAAATGCAAAGAGTACACACCAGGCCAGCCAGTATTAGGAACCTCTGCCTGAACATTGACTAGTCCAATATGTTTATTTATTTTAATTTCTGCAATCGCAGATTCTGTTGTGCTCTTAAGTTGTTTGGTTTCAATTACTGTACCTGCCTAAAGTCTACTCACTGTGGAGAATTTAGTGCTGATACATCAGGAACAATTTTGTATGAAATCCCCAAAAATGAATTTTGAGATTGAGTGACATAAATTCAGTAATGGGTTGATGCAGATTTATTCTATAAATGCTGAACAGTAATAGAGAAAGTTGTGCATATTTTAATGTATTTGGTTCTACAGGACAAGGACAGCAACTCTAGTTTTCAAGATCCGATGATCTGAATATCAGATGCTTTCAAGAGCAAAAAACAGTGAGTTGTTAGTTCCATACATGGGTCAAGCATTGGCAAGAAACTAGTTAACTGTAGGAATCCAAATTGTTAAGACAATTTTGAGGTTTATTCACAAGGACTTTGTATGGTGACAGGTCTATATTGTTTTCAGACTTGTGAAACCACATGTAATAACTTCGGTTCTGGAATAATTACAGCAGCGGCACTTAGTCCAGAGACTATGAGGCTCAGGTGGAAGACAGGCTGAAATTCTACAATAGTACATCAAATTCTGGTTTCAATAGTTCTTGATACATAGCTTACTTATGTAACAGCAAAATATTAATTGAATTCACAGAAAGCCAGAATTAAATGAAGTTACGGCTAACCAGTTGCTTAAGTTCAAAAATAAAAGTTCCAATGATGGACTTCAGTGGATTGTCATAGGTGATACCTTTGTACAAACTACCTCAGTTGTTAAATTACAAGCCAGTGTAAAATCAAGATCAACACCTGTTAGAAACTGTAGAGGGTGTTTTCTTTGTTGTTGATTTAACATAAATTAAAGCATAGAAATTAGTAACTATTCGACATTTATGTAAATATTGTTTTTCCTTCAAACAATCTGAATGGAAAGTTATAACTAAAAAAATTCACCTGATGAGAGCATGGTCTAAGTTACATAGCTTAAGACCAAGTTAGTGTACAGCTTTAAGTCTAAAAGTCTCAATGTTTTTGGATTTTAATAAAGACTTTTTCTTAAATGATGTGCTCATTAAGGTGAGTTACACTGTTGCTGAGGACTGCAACACATTGCAAATTTCCCATGTTGAGCTTCAGTGTCAAGCATTCTCTTGATCAGGTCATAGCAGTTATATGTAGAGTGAGGGTGAATTGCCACTTTGTGCTTTAGTTTGAATCAGAGAAGGTTACCTTCTACGGCATTGTGCGAGATATCTTTTCATTTCCTATCTTTGCTAAATGAACCTGTGGATTTTGTGCCAAATCAGGGAGTTTTAAAAAAATTCCACATCAGTAAACGTAATGTATGGAGAGTGGTTTCTTATTTATAAGGCAGTATGTTCAATTTTGATGTCACAGAATTGTAAATACACATTAAAATGCATGCACAATTAGGATTAGACAAAAAGCACAGTAAATCATCCCTCACTGTTGATTTCTTCTGTGATTTAAAACTGAAAGCTAATCAGCAGAAAGGAGGTCCATTACTGAGTTTAGATATAAAGTTTACTCCATTGCCTTATTCTACTGAAAACTGACTGACCAATAGGTCCACATTTTACAAAAATAATCAAATTTTGGTTTGCAAAATTGAGAAGCATGGCTAGGATGGATTAAGAAAGAATTAAAAGAATAAAGATACTTTTGTTTTTCCATCCACCAGGTAATGGGGTCTGGAATTCATTGTCTAAAAGAATAGTAGAAGCAGAAACCCTAATCACTTTTGAAAGCTCCTGGGTGTATGCATTTTTAGTGCTGTATCCTGCAAGGCTAGTCACCATGAACTGAAAAATGGGATAAAGCCAAATAGGTCTTCTTTAGCCAGTATGAGCCAAATGGCCCCTTTCTGTGCCATAAATTTTCTATGGTTAGGTTGATTTCAGAAAGTGTAGAAATACATTGTGCACATTTTTAAACTGACCTCAAAATTCTATGAAACAATGGTGACTATAATTACCTCGGGAATTGTCAGTCTCTGAGAGCACAAAACAGATTACAGTGGACCATTTATCAGTAAAGTAGGTAGAAAATTATGATTGGATGTTTTTATAACAATACTAATACTGTTAAAAATCTATTGGATTGTTTTATTCCCTTCTACTAATACCAGTTATTGGTCAGCACTTGTCTGGCCAGTGAAATTACTTGAAAGTGGTCTAAGAAGTTTATTTGTTGATTGAAACAAAATCCAATCAGAACGTCTGCCATTAAAGTTCATCATGGTAGAACTTTTCATCATGTAGTTGGCTACCATAGTCGGTTGCTTCACTGTTGAGGAAGAGATCCTGACTCACAAGTATTTCTGCTTCTGTAAGTTTCTCATCTCCATTTGTATCAATTTCTTTGACAAGATGATCAGCCTGTCGGAGAACAGAAACACTCAATGTTAATCTTTGATGGCTGGAAGTCAAAGTTGAATTAGACTCAAACACCTGGATGCATTTCTGCAGAATTCTCCTCAACCAGCCCTGGCGTGCTTCCCCTCGGTTTCCTCAGAAATCCGGAGCATCAAGTATGGCTCAGATGCAGGGCAAAGCTTCTTCTGGCACTACCCAACAATGAAGTTTAATACCCATCTCAGTTGAGAAACTGTGACTATCCTCATTTCTAGCTCTTATATGTATTCTTATCACTTCAGTGAGACTGCCACCCAATGGCTTAAATAATAGGAGCCCCAGACTAGAAAAAATGGCCAGAAAACTCATAACAGACCATCATTCTGCTCTTCCAATTAGTATGTGTCAGAGGTATAATATAGCAGGGAGAAGTTTGGACAAAATGGCATAACTGTCCTCTTTCAAGCTATAATTTCTTCTCTCCTTCGAATTTGTATGTTACAATTTTGTTTTCCAAAATGACACCACAGATGCGGCAGAGACTGGCGATAAAGCCTCAAATATGCAAACCATATGGTAGGATTTTCCTCCTTAGAGGAATGGTTCTAAAGTACTATTTTATTTAAGTACGATTCTCAACATTATGTTTTCAATTCTTCACATTCAGACAGTGTTTTAAAGTCAGTATCACTTCAAAACAAATATTTTTCCATTATATTGTTACATATCTTTCTGAACAAAACTTTTATTTTGAGGGGAAAAAAATCATCCTCTAAATTCTTCATGCTGTCACAGTATTGGTCTGGGTAACAGAACACACTTCCATCTCAGGCACCCAGATCAGGTAATGCCCAGGTCAAGTATAGCAGCATGCCACACGTAGGAAGACACCCTCTAATCTTCTTCCAATAATGTGTGATGGTTACTGACAATGCTAGTTTCTGTATTGACAGCATACCAACAGGGCACTGGATTAAATCTACACAAACATACATTTTTACATGTTATAAACAAATTTAACAGCTTTCCAAAGATAATACTACTATTACCACAGAATTAAAATTGAAAGGTAGCAGGTTTACCTCATCATGTGCAATATCCTGATTGTTGGGAATAATCCACAACAGGAGTTCCTCTTGATTAAGTTTTCCATCCTTGTCTTTGTCATAATCATTTTCAAATCGATCACGCTCCACAGTTACCCATTCTGGATCTTCCTCAGCACCTGTTTTCAAGAGGTAGAAACATTCTTAGCTAAAAAATATTCACATTAGATAACTACGAACCAACAATGGTATTGTAGAGTTGATGGATCCCATATTGCGAATTGCTCGTATCTAGTTGAGGAGCATAAGCAACTTACTTATATGCACAATGTTTTACTTGCATACTTGGGTTGGAACTATAATTAGACGTGTAAAAAAGCTGAGTTTATTTATACACTTTCAATAATATTAATCATGTTCAGTTTTAGACAGTCAATCAGATGGCTCAACCACCCACTCAGCTGGGGAACAGAATGCAGTCTCAATGTCACCTTCCTCATTTTTGCTGAAGGGCAGTGACACTAGTATTTGTTGTCTGATCTTCCTTTCTTGCTCCCTGCAAGGTATGGACTGGCTTTATTACATGCTTTTCCACAGCATCATGTAAAAAATTGGGAACTAATAATTTCAGGCAGCCATAGGTTCAGATTTATCTTCTACATGACACACAGTGCAATTTGCTTTTTAACTATCATGAAAGGACCCAGATTTCAGGGTATACACATACCAAAATGGAAAAGAAAAAATAATTATAAATTGAAAATTATGAATTCTGAACTGTGTTTTAAAAAGGCTAAAAAACGTCTGAGGAAGGAAATGATCAAGATATTAACCACGAATTTTATTTCACTGAAAAATTACAGTATTAATTTAACTAACCTGGGTCTTTTCTGTAGTCACCAAGGAATTCCTCTAAGCTGACAAACCCATCTTTGTCACGATCATGTTCGTCTAAAGCATCCTGTATGACATACTCCTGCAATTTGAAAATTTAAAGCATCAGCATTGATATCAGGTGAACATGCAATCATTTTCAGTTAAGATGTCACCGACAGTTGAAATTCTTGGGGGGGGGATGTCAGTGCTCACAAAAACTTTACTCCAGCATAAACTACATAACAAAGGGGAAGATTTTTAACTGGCTAATTTGCCTCCTAAGTTATCCAGGCCTATACTGTTAAGGAGTGTGGTGAACATCTGACACAAAACACCACCAGTATGCACAAATGGAATGGTTTCAGAGACTAGTCTAATTGACTATTTTCACATAGAAGTGGTAACTGTTTTTCAAATTATGCAAGAAACAGCATACTGCAGCTCACCTTCATATAATCAGCTTCTTCTGGGTGTTCAAATGCTACAAATTCTGTCAGAGTCAGTCCTGGTAACCCATCAATGTTTGCATTCTCAAATCGCTTTTTATCTTTCAAAAAAATCTACAGACAGAAGTCAAGAAAGTTAAAGCACTTTGTTTTCTGATTCAGATTGATTCAGTAAGTATGCATTAGATATTGCTTTGACAATAAACTTGATAAATGAACCAAAAGAACTGTGGATGCTGAAAATCAGAAACAAAACAGAAATTGCTGGTGAAAACTCAGCTGGTCTGGGAGCATCCTGAAGAAGGGTCACTGGACCTGGGATTTCTCTCCACAGATGCTGCTAGACCTGCTGAGTTTTATTTCCACCAATTTCTGTTTTGATAAATGTACCATTAGTTATTATGGTTTTTTTTCTATTAAAGTACCCAGAAAATCAGGCTATCCTTGTCCCACAAAGACTTCTGTAATGTTTATGGAAATTTATTTTTATCTTCAAGTAGATGTCAGCCTTGGTGCAATCATAGCATCCTGCCTCTGAGCAAGGCAGCTGTGGGCTCAAGTCCCACTCCAGATTCTGCACACTCTGGTCAATGCAAGAAAAAATGAATGTTTCATATTGTGAAAATTAACACTAAAAGCTATAACACTAATGAGATTTTCAGATTGAAGGCATAAGGAGATGAGGACAAAAATTAAAAAGCAAGAGATATTCAGACTTTGAATAGTGTGATACAGATAGAATAGGTAACCAGAAACCATTTAGAATCGTACAGTACAGAACAGGCCTTTCAGCCCATTCAACCCACACTGCCAAAAACTACTCTAAATCTACACTTTCTAGTCCTTCTTTCCAGCACTTGGCCCATAGCCTTGAATATTATGACATTTCAAGTGTTCATGCAATTACTTTTTAAAAGGTAGTGAGGTTTCCTGCCTGACATACCGTTCCAGGCAATACATTCCAGATTCTAACCACACTCTGGGTGAAAATTTGTTTTTAATCAATTCCCCTCTCAACCTCCTGCCTTTCACCTTAAAATTACACCCCCTTGTTAGTGACCCTTCAACAAAGGGGAACATCTGTTTTCTATTCACCCTGTCCATGCCCCTCAATCTTATACATCTCAATCAGAACTGTCTCCACCGTCTCTCCTCTAAAGAAAACAAACCAAGCTTATCCAGCCTTTCATCATAGCTAAACCGCAACATCCTGGTAAATCTCCTATGCACCCCCTTCAGTGCAATCACAACATTCTACATTGCAGAGATCAGAATATTCCAGTTATGGTCTAATAAAGGTTTTGTATAGCTCCAACATAAACTCCCTGCTTTTATAATCCATGCCACGACTGATAAAGGCAAGCATCTTTCTTATCTAACCTACTAACCTGTCCTGCTGCCATTATGGATCTATTGACAAGAACCCCAAGATCCCTCTGTTGCTTAGCTTCATAGTGTCCTGCTATTCATTAAGTACTCCCTTATCTTGTTACTTTTTCCAAATTGCATCACCTCACACTTGGTGGGTTAAATTCCACCAACCACTGATCTGCCCATCTGACCAATCTGGCTATATCCTCTTGTAACCAAAGGCTTTCTTCCTCACTGTCAACCACCTGGTCAATCTTTGTGTCATCCACAAAGTGACCTTATCATTCCCCCCACCCACATTTTCTTCTGTATCATTTATGGATATCACAGACAAGGACGAACACAGCATTGATCCATGTAGTAGGCACTGAACACTGGCCTCTCTCACACAAACAGCCTTTTATCATTACCTTATGTCTCCTACCATGAAGCCAATTTTGAATCCAACTAACCAAGTTACCCTGAATCTAATGTACTTTTACCTTCTTTATCACTCTCCCATACAGAACCCTGTCAAAAGCTTTGCTGAAATCAGATAAACTACACCAACTACACTACCCTCATGTACACACCTGGTCACCTTCTTGAAAAATTCAATCAAGTTTGTCAGGCATGACATTCCCTCAGACAAAGCCATGCTGACTATCTCTGATCAAACTTGCCTCTCTAAATGAGATTAATTGTTTCCTTCAGAATTTTTTCCAATGGATTCCCTCCCACTGATGAGAGGCTCGCTGTCTATAATTCCCTGGTTTATCTCTGCCACCTGTCTTGAAAAGTAGAACCACATTAGCTGTCCTCCAGTTCTCTGGTACCTGCCCAGTGGCCAGCAGAATTAAAAGTTCAGTTCAGAGTCCCTGTAATTTCCTTCCTCATCTCCCACAGTAGCCTGGGATACAACTCACCTGGACCTGGGTTATTTGTACACTTTTAAGACAGCTAAAATCTCCAGTACCTCCTCACTCCATATGTCAAACTGCTGAAGAACCTCACAGTTCCTCTTCCCAAATTCTGTACCTACATCTTCCTTCTCCAAAGTGAAGACAAATGTAAAGTAGTCAATTAACACCCTATCAATGTTCTTTGGCACCACGCACAGATAGCCCCTCTTGGGGCTTTTCCCCCAATATACTTCTAGAACATCTCGGGATCCTAGCTAATCTTACTCGCCAGTATTTTTTCCATATCCCTGTTTGCTTTCTTAAGTTTCCTCCTGCACTTTCTATATTCCATTCAGGCCTTCATTGATTTGCTCCCATTGTACCCGTTAAAAGCCTCTCTTTTCCTTCAATGAATATTCACAGACATCCAGGATTCTTTTGGCTTGTCCATCACCCAAAAATTAACATGTTGAACACAATTCAATTTTGAACTCCCACCACACCCCCACCCCGAAAAGTGTTCTACTGTAAATTTACCCGGAAGTTGCTGTTCCCAGACTGACCACATTTGCCTTATTTTAGTAAAATCTGTCTTCCCCTAATTCAAAGCCCTTTTTTGCAGACCATCTTTTCTTTTTCCAAAAGGAACTTTTTTTTTTAATGTGGGATGTGGGCATCACTGGCTGGCCAGCATTTATTTCCCATCCCTAGTTGCGGTGAACCACGGTAGTCCATGTTAAAACATATGGTGTTGTGGTCGCTATCACTAAAATGCTTTCTTGCTGCTGTCTTGTAAACCTGTCCAACTGTGTTCCCCAGAATTAGATCTAGAACTGCACTGTCATTGTTGGACCTTCTACGTGTTGATAGAAAAAGCTCTCTTAAATACATTTCAAGAAATCTGTATCCTCTAATCCCTTTACATTATGATTATCCCAATTAATGTTCAGGAAGTTGAAATCCCCTAATATAATCATCACCTCAGTGAATTGTCTACATAGCTGCTCCTCTACTTTCGAGTAACTGTTTGGGGGCCTTCAGTGTGACTACCCACTTTTTGTACCCAACCTCTACCCTTAAAACCTTGTTGAAGATCCTTCAAAGTTATTGTCCCCTCTTACTGTAGTAACCGACTCTTTCATTAATAATGCAAAACCATCCCTCTTTCACACCCTCCCCTATCCTGTCTGAAGATTCTATACCCTGGAATGTGAAGTTGCCAGTCCTGTCACTCCCTCGACTATATCTGATAGCAACAACATCGCAATTTCACGTGTCAATCCATGCCCTATGATACTGTTTCTTTCTAAAACAGTGAAATTGAAATTAAATGAGCCAATGGTGACATTGCACACAGCACTGACTAAGCCATATTGGATGACAGTGGAATTGCAGATGTCTCTTAGAACCATTGAAACTAAGACTTACCAGGATAAAGAGGAAGAAGAAATTATAATTATGAGAAAAGAGAAGAACTACCAGCTTTTAATTAGGATACAATGACTGAGCATAATTCTAAAAACTTTCAAGATTAACAGTGGCTCAAAGTGAAAGTTTGTTTGTACTGTGATTAATCAGTAACAGGGACACGAAGATTCAGGATTATTCCTGTCAACCTTGGCTCAGTGGTACTGTTTTCACCTCGAATGGCTGTAGGATTAAATCCCATTCATGTCAATCAGATTGACATTCCAGTGCAGTACTGAGAAGGTGCTGCACAGGCTGACGTGCAAACTTTTGTATGAGTCTTTAAACCTTGCCCGTAACAGCCCTATCAGATCGATTATAAATCCATCATGGCCACAGACCTACCTTCTTTCATTCCTTGTCAAGCTTATTGATATTCCAGTGCATAGGTAAACGTGAGATGCAAGTCTTTAATGCCAAGTATAATGACAGCCACATTCTGTACATTTCAGCAATCCAGTGGCTCAGGTGGAAAAAAAACAACGTATGTGATTGTCACATAGACCAGATGATTTTGGATACTGAATTCCACATCTACATTAGGTGAGTTATAGAGCCATAAAGCTGAACAACATGGAAACAGACCTTTCAATCCAACTCGCCTGCACCAACCTGACATCCCAATCTGACCTTGTTCCATTTGCCAGCATTTGGCCCATATCCCTCTAAACCCTTCCTATTCATAAACCCAACCAGATGCCTTTTAATTGTTGTAATTGTACCAGCCCCACCACTTCCTCTGGCAGCTCATTCCATACATGCACCACCCTCTGCGTGAAAAAGATGCCCTTTAGGTCCCTTTTAAATTTTTGCCTTCTCACCTTTAAACCTATGCCTTCTAGTTTTGGATTCCTCTACCCTGGGGGAAAGATCTTGGCTGTTCACCCAATTCATGCCCTTCATGAGTTTATAGACCTCTAAAAGGTCACCCCTCAGCTTCCGACACTCCAGGGAAAATAGCCCCAGCCTGTTCAGCCTCTCCCTATAGCTCAAACCCTCCAAACCTGGCAACATCCTTGTAGATCTTTTCTGAACCCTTTCAAGTTTCATAACATCCTTCCTATAGCACGGAGACCAGAATTGAATGCAGTATTCCAAAAGTGGCCTATCTAATGTCCTGTACAGCCTCAACATGACCTCCCAACTCCTAAACTCAATGCAATGACCAATAAAGGGAGCATACCAAATGCTTTCTTCACTAGTCTGTCTATCTGCGACTCTACTTTCAAGGAACTGTGAACCTGCATTCCAAGGTCTCTTTGTTCAGCAACACTCCTCAGGACCTTACCATTAAGTGTATAAGTCCTGCCCTGATTTGCCTTTCCAAAGTGCAGCACCTCACATTTATCAAAATTAAACTTTCAGCCAGGAAAATACTGAAATAGTACAAGAAAT